GAAGGAGAGATTACCGGAGGAAGAGAGTTACCACCGCGCACGGTACCTAGTTCCAGTTCTTGGTCCCGGGGATTTGTGGTTGCCGCTTTCATCTTGCTCAGCCAGAACAAAAGGAAGGTGTCAGAGAGCGATTCCTGAGGACCTTCCGTGCGGTTTCCACCTGCAGACTTTGCTCATTTTTGTCCACTCCCTCCTCTGACCCTTTGCACTTGATGCGCTCGGATGAGTGGAAAGGAGCGCAATTAATGGAAAACACTAGCCTGATAGTCAAGGGGTTTGAGTTCTATTCCTGTCCCTTGGTGACGACATCATTACACTGAGTAATTCACGCTTTCAGTGCCACAGTTTCTAGATCAATAAAAAGGAATAAAACCTTGATCTCTTACAGGAATGTGTACCCGGTCCTGACTTCCAAAAGTATGGTTAGCACTATGTTACATCTGTGTAAATAATATTGTGTGATCAGTACTATAATTGGTCCATGTTATTTGGTTGTTATTTTACTGGGCTCTTAAAAAAAGACTCTACAGTTTTATAAGCGTGTTTGTAATTCACAACTAAAGACATCTCTGAATCTAAGTTACATCTGCTTTTGTTAAAATGTAAAAGTCTGTAAAAAAAAAAAGTAAAGTCTGTAGTATCAAATCGTTTTTAAAATGCTCTCAACTGCTGGCATTATTGTTTTCGGAGCTGGGGATATCTTAACCCACTGTATTTCTCTCCAGTGCTTATGTGATCGAGTGTTTTTCACCTGTTTAATTTCCAGGAAGTACCCCACATCAAATTTGACCTATCATTTCAACTTAAACCTGATGCAAATCTTTTTTTCTTCCAACAATGGTTGCAGTATTGGATAATGTCTTCAAATTACCTGTTCAGATTACCAGATATAACCATGCAAAATTGGTTATATATATATATATATATATATATGAAATTGAAAACGACAAGAAAAAAATATAAGCATCAACTGCTCCCCTCTGTAGACCAGCAGAAATTAGTAGTGCAATTATCCAAGCCATCCTATGATGCAAATCTTGATGACAGTAGCATTAGCGTATGCTGATACTAAAGAATTAAAATTAAAAAGCCCTCTTAAATTATATTTTATATAATTTTACCTGTGAGTCAGAAGTCTTGTCAGCATTTTAGGGCACACTAAGTTAAAAAAATTTAGTGAGAAAAGATTCACTTATTTTACATTTGATAAAATATTAAGTATTTGATTTGATATCTGTTATATACATTGCTTTAGCATCTGTCTCTATATTAATTTCTCCCAATTGTGGTTTCCTTTCCTTATCAATACAGCAACAGTGTGACTAATTCCTGCCCAAATTGATAAGTGAAACTATACCTGTGCATTTTATTACTACCTTATAATATCTCTGAGTGACATCTTGCTGCAATCAGCTACAGTATATCAAGAGTTTATATTTATATAGAATATTCACCTAAGATTTATAAAAATGAAACATCATTGTGGACAATCTAAAGAACGGGGTGCATTTTTTTTTAAATCTTACATGTACAAACATGACTTGTAGGTTAGTTTTCTTCAGGATGTTTTGGTAGCCTTTCGTTTACAAAGTATTGCTCATGCTATGAGGAAAATGAGAATATCAGAAATCTTGTTGCCTCAAGAGCTTGTTTCAGATGCCTCAGTACCAAGTCAGGGCAACAACCTTCTCTCTCCTAATGCTTTTTCAGCTGCGTTACCTAAAACTGTATTTACAAGAGCTCTATGAACAATGGCCCTTACCTCCAGGGCCATACAGGCTCACATTTATATAAGCATATAACATATATGTTAAGTTTGATAAACAGAAATAGATGGAAAAGGCAGTAGAACATACTGGTTAGATACATATCTTATCAAATTATGGTAACCAGCTTTCCAAACACTTTCCAACACTGCAAAAGGCAGTAAACTTGGTTTATAAGTGACTCTGTTATTACCTAATGTTTCTTACTATCAGCAGTATATTTTACATCATGGTCTAATGCCATAAATACAGACTTACATAGTGAAGCAAACCATGTGAGTTGTATTGCACACTTATTATAGGCAATTCTCTTTGCAGTTTTTATTCTGCCCTTTTAAGAATGTATGCCCTGGGCCAGCAAGATAGCTCAGCAGACTAAGTGCCTGCTTAAGCAAGTACAGGGACCAGGGTTCAATCCCAGGTACCACTTGCCATGCCGGCCCTGCCCCTGGGCACCCTGAGCCAGCCACCAAGTCTAGGCATGGGGCACATGCCTATAATCCAAGTACTGGGGAGGCTGAAAACTGGAGGATCACTAGAAGTCTGATCTGCATAGTGAGACCCTGTACCAAATATATGTATTTATTTATTTGTTTTTATTTATCTTTTTACTTATTGCATTTTTTTAGGGAAGGGTCTATAGGGTGTCAAGTCTCAGTTGCCATTTCAGCACACCCCGGGGGCAGGGCCAGCACAGCAAGCCCAGTGATCAAATCCCTGGCCCCTGCGCCTACTTCTAGGTGCTTTAATCCACTGAGCTATATGGCCGGCCCTTGTACCAAATATATATATTTTTTAAAGTTAATGCCCTTAAAATATCCAGTGGGTTGTAATTTAACTTTGAAAACCACTGTTTCACATTTGGTGTTCTGGAGAATTTCTATCATTCTAGAAATATCTGAAAAGGAAGGATAAATCTTGGGACTGAACAAGGAAGTAAGGACTCTAAGGATTAAACATTGCTGGCTAAGGGCATTATCCCATTTGGGGCCTGCCAGTGTACATAGCCATTTGGAAAGGAGTCTTTTGATATAGAGAGATCCTACAACCTGGCTGCTTTTGAACAAGGAAAATTTTGCAATGGGCATCCTTGAGCTGGTTAGGATTGCACCTCCTGACAGCTTCTCTGCTAAGAGATAATTGCCTTTTTATTTATTTATTTATTTATTTATTATTTTACTGTACCCATTTCCATTTCATTTTTGAAAGAATGCTTAAGGTGTTACTATGGTTTGGATGTGATCTGTCCACCAAAATTTCATGTTCAAGCAAGTTGGTCCCTAATGTGGGGATTTTGGGAGATGGTGCCTTTAAGAGGTGAGGAGGCCCAAAAGATGGATTAATGCTTTTCTCATGGGAGTGAGTTCTTGCTCTTGTGGGACTGGATGGTTACCATAAGATCAGATTGTTATAAACCAAGTTTGGCTTCCTTAGCTTTCTCTTGATTCCTCTTTCACTGTATGACATCTGTCCCACACATGCTTACTCGTTTCCACATGATACTCTCCACCATGAGCCCCTCACCAGAAGTCAGTACTGGTGCAGTACTCTTAGACCTCCAGAATTCTGAGCTAAATAAACCTTTATGGAGTACCTAATCTCAAGTAAGTTATTATTGTAACACAAAGCATACTAATTCAACCTTGTAAAAAGGCCTAGATAGCTTTTTATAGCCATTATGCTGTAAGCAAGTAGTCTGTGGTATAGTTTGCTAGGCTTGAGAAGGTTTTTGTCCAAAGCTAACAGCCATGCCACCTGGAACAGACTTTTGGGGCTTGCCTGATTCTTGGTTTGAATATATGTGTCCTTCCAAGAGTCATATGCTAAGGTGGCGATATTATGAAGTGAGGTCTTCGAGGAAATTATTAAGTCATGGGTATGAATGGTATATATGCTTGTGTAAAAGGTCCTTCAGAGGGCTGTCACCCTTTTATCCTTTTGCTAAGTGAGATCAGTACACTACCTCTTAGCATGTAAGGAGAGAGCAACAAAGTACCATTCTGGAAATAGCCTTCACCAGTCACCAAATATGCTGACCCCTTAACCCTGTCCTTCTGAGCCTCCTACGAGTAATTTTGGTTGTTTGTAAATTACTCAGTCTTTGGGCTGGGGAGATAGCTCAACGATCTAAGCACCTGCCTGGCAAGCACAAGAACCCAGGTTTGATTCCCCTGTACCGCATGCTGTGCCACCTTGCCAGCCACTGAAACCTGGCATGGTGGCAGATGTCTGTAATTCCAGTGCTGGGGAGGCTGAGACAGGAGGATCACTATGAGTCTGAGCTGCATAGTGAGATCTTGTACCAAATAAAATAAATAAATGATTTTTTAAAAATAAAAAATAAATTACTCAATCTCAGGTATTTTGTTATAGCAGTACAAATAGACTGAAACATTTAGTATATGTAAGTAGATTATAAGTAGATTATGTTATTTAAATTAATGTTGCTTACTATCAACAGTATATTTTGCATTGTAGCCCAATACTCTAAATACAGACTTACATATTTAAACATACATGTAAGTGTTATGGAGCTGTACTTACTATATGAAATGCTGCGCAACTTCTATTCTGTCCTTTGAAGAATATTAGTGCCCTAAAATACCTAGTGGGTTGTAATTTAATTTTGAAAACCACTACTTCACATCTCCCATGGTATTTTAGAGAATTTCTGCTATTCTAGAAATGCTTGAGAAGGGTAAGTCGTAGCACAAGGAAGACTTAATTGCTTATGCATCGATGTAAAAATATAAAGAAAATAGAATTCAATGCCAAAAATGCCAGTAAACTGAAGAACAAAATTACTGAAGAGTTTCTTTCCTGGAACTGATAATGGATATCTTCAGAACTGGGTGTCAGTTGAGGATAGAATAATTCCTTGATAGTAGACTTAATACCCACCTGTCTATCCATTGAGGAAAATACCAAACTTGGATTTTCAATTCTCATTCTGACTATAGCTACATGTCATCAAGGTACTTGGTCATATGCCAACTTATCGATCAAACCTCTTATTCACTTTTTTTAAAGCATTACATTTATAGTTTTATTGCAGTAACAACTGTCACAGTGAGATCTACATACATAATATAGAATATTTAAATTTATATAGAACAGTATTTACATTTTTAAGTTATACTTTTGAATTGGAAAGCGAGGTACAGTTTCAGTTTCACAGCAAAGAAAAATGTAAAAGACAAAAACAGACAGAAACAACAGTAAAAGTACAACTATTCATCCTAGATTATAATGTGGAAGCTCTTTATTGGAAACGTACATCTTTTTAATCTGACCATCCAAATCATCAAAATACAGGTGATTCAGTGCCATTTTGCCAGAAATCCATTTAGCAGGATCATAGACTAACATTTTCGAGAGTAAATCCAAGCCATTTTCATCCAAGTTTTTGACATGGGCTGCCAGGCTTCCAGGTTTCCACTTGGGAAATGTATTCTTATAGTCCTGTAAAGACTCCACTTCTGGCCACACTTTATTGTTGGGAGTGCCCAAAGCTCTGAAAATCCTGAAGAGCTGATCAATTTCTGAATCCCCATGGAAAAGTGGTTTCTTAGTTTCCAATTCTGCAGAAATGGTTTCTATCCTCCAAATGTCAACTGGAGTAGAGTAACGAGCAGCCCCCAGCAGCACTTCTGAACATCTATACCAGAGTGTCACTACCTCATGTGTATATACTCTAATAGGTATCCCAAAAGCTCTGGCAAGACCAAAGTCAGCCAGTTTAATTGTTCCTTTGTCATCAATCAACAGATTTTGAGGTTTCAAGTCTCTGTGAAGAGCTCTTCTAGAGTGACAAAAGACAATGCCCTGAAGGATCTGGTACAAATAACTCTTAACAAGTGATGCATCCATGAACTGCCCAGGAGGAATAGAATCCAGGTATTTCTTGAGATCCATGGAAAGGAATTCAAAAATGAGATACAGCCAGGAATCCCGCATAAGCACATCTTGAAGACTGACTATGTTTGGATGGCGAAGTTCTTTTAATAGAGAAATTTTCCAAATTGCAGTACTGGGAATCCCTTCTTCTTCACTTTCTAGTCTGATTCTCTTCATGGCTAACACTTGACCTGTAGTTTTGTGTCTACCCTTATATACAACTCCATAAGTACCTTCTCCAATTTTCTCTATCTTGGTATACTCTTCCATAGTCATTCAGCAGATAGGATAGATTCCGGGAGTCGCCCGGTGGCTGAGGCGTCAGCTACCTCACCTGCGTCTCTCTCCTCACGGGATCCCCGGCACTAGCTCAGAAGTCAAATGCCTCTAATTCACTTTCGTAACAGGTTTTATAATCTAGTAAATAATGTAAGCTTTATTTAGAATCGGGCAGAACTGGATTCAAATCTCAGATCTCTATGTGGTACTATGTTCATTTTCTGTGTCAGTAAAATGGAGACAATAATAGTTTTTGTCAGAGGTTTCCTAAAGATGAAAGGAGATGATCTCAATAAAGGATTTTTTATTCCTTGCCAAATAACAGGCTTTCAATAAATATTCATTTTATTTAGCAAATAGCAATCTTGGCAGTTGCTACTAAATTCCCTCAATAGCAAGCATTTTAGTCTTTTAAGACATTTCTTTCTAATTTATATTATAGCGGGATGTTTTCATTTTTTCTTTCTTGAGGATAGGGTACATTGTTCATATATATTTGTGCAGTACGTACTATTGAATAAAAGGTGCTCACAGATTGTTGATATATTGAAGAGTGTCATCAGAGAAAAAAATGGAGTGGAAAAAAATGTCCACCTCAGGAAACCCAGAAGTTCTGTGGGGGACCACACCCTGCCCAGAGGAAGGTGGCTGCTGAGCTGCCCAGGTGGCCCCATGGAACTTTCGGAGGAGACTGGATCCCAGAGATGTGACTGAGGATAGACCCACAACAACAACGCGTGCTTCCGTAGGGACAGACAAGGAGCTGAGCGACCTGCAGGACTTCAGCGATGATTTCCCCATCTGTTAATAGGGGGAAAAACAGACCAACCACACTGGGAAGCAATTAGTGCAGTGTATCAGAACTTAGACGATGAAACAAACACTTTCCACCTTTATTTATGAAATGAGAATTAACCTGATTAAGCCAAACAGGAAACAATGTGGGAAAGGCAAAGGAAAAAAAAACAAAACCAATTATGGACCAATTTACCTTATGTACGTATTGCAGAAATCTTAAAAAAAAAATTAGCAAACTGAATTCTACTCATAAAAGGAAAAAAAAATCAGAACTGCAGGTAATATCATACTTGAAGGTGAGGAATGAAAGTTTTCTTCCTTGAATGAGAATAAGGCAAAAATGTCTACTCTTAATATCTCTGTAGTTCATTATTTTACTGGGAATCCTAATCAGCATTAATATAGCCATAAAAGGAAATAAAGCAAAGAGATTGAGAAAAAAGAAATAAATTGTGTCCATTGACAGACAACATGACTGTCCCAAAGAATCTTCAAAAGCCTATGGTTTAGCAAGGTCACACAATATAAGATATGCACATGCACATGTGCACACACATGCACACACACACACACACACACACACACACACACGTCTTAATTCTCTATACATTTGGCCTGTTTTTTTTTTTCCTTTTTCTAGAATCTTTTTTTTCTTTTCAAAGTTTTATTGATAAACATATAGCAATGAGACAGTTTCAAATCAAATCGAAAGTACAGTTTCAACAAATAATACACTGCATATATTCTTCTTAGTGGTTAATTGCTGTACAAGATGCAGACTTGTGATCCTACTTACAATGGCCTGTTTTTTCAATCTCTTCATCTGCAGATTCAACCAACCATGGGCTGAAAATGTATGAAAAAATTATGTCTTAACAAAGCTTTTTGTTGAAATGTACCCTAAGGAATATAGCATTTATACAACATTTACATTCTATTAGGTATTATAGGTAATATGGAGATGATTAAGAATCACAGGAGTATGTGTATAGGTTGTATTTAAACACCATGCCACTTTTAAAAGGAATGAGTATCTGGATTTTGATGCTTGTGGGGTTTCGGAATCACTCTGTTGTGGATACTGAAAGACCACTGTTGAGCAATGTACAATAGGAGCATGAAGTAATAAGTAGCATTGTACAGCAAAAAGAAAATGGCCATGTCATTTTTTTAAAAAAAAAAAAACCTTTTTCCATAAATATGACAGCCTGCTAGACGTTTACAATAAAACATTGTGATGTAAAGGCGTTAGTCACTAGTTTTGAAAAGAATTGAGTGCATTGCAAAAACCAATATTCAGATTTCACAATGTGAAATCCACAAAGAGCATCTTTCTAGAACATAATGGTTAGTGTGTACAGTGTGAACTTTTGCTGGGGGCATTATGACCCAAGAATAGCATATTCAATGAAGATGTAATTCAAGCATACAAGCAAACGGCAATCGTTTTGGCTGCCATTCCCAAATACCACAGGCTGGGTGTTATAAACAGTAGAAACACCTCATAGTTATGAAGATTGGAATTCTGCAGTTAAGGTACCAGCATGGTTGGGTTCTCATGAAGCTTCTTTTCCTGGCTTGTAACACACGTGCTTTCTGGCCATGTGCCTGCATGACCTTTCTTCAGTACAAGTGTGTGAAGAAAGAGCGAGCAAGCTCTCAAGTGTCTCTTTTTGCAGGAGTACTACTCCCATGAGGGCCCAACCTCACACCCTCATCTAATTCTAATTGTCTCCCAAAGGTCCCATCTCCAAGCACCGCGGAAATTGGAGGTTAGGGATTCGATACAGATTTGGGGGAAACAAACGTTCTGCATATAACACCAAATATCATTTAATTTTATTTATGTTTTATTTTTACTGCCAGTGAGTCTACCGTTTCCAACTTTTTATTTAGTATTTTAAATACCAGAAAAATTAAAAGAAAGGTACATAATATACCCACTACATTAATTGTTAGGCGTTTGGGCATATTTGCCTTATCTACATGTTTATCTAAATGTGTACTGTATGTTTGAAAGTAACTTGCTGCATAATATTGTACTGTATCAGTAAACATTTCCTTAATAAAATACCATTACCACATTAAATAAAATCCCTTGTATAATCTAGCCCATCAATATTAAAATTAAATTAAAATCTGTATTAGATTGAACCCTGATCCCTGAGCTGCCTAAGTTTTTATAAATGGAGACAGGAGGAGGGATTGAAAGGAAGGTAGGGGAATTGGCAAGAAATCAGTACATAAGTTCAGGTACAAACTATGATGATATATGATCATTGTGTATATCTAAAATGTACCCAAAAAATCTGATCGGAGGGCAAAAAAGTTCTTTCTCTTAAAGTGGCAAAGAACGTCACTGAATTGAGTTCTACTGTTTTGCTGCAGGTAGAACTTTGGAGGCAGAAATTGTCTATTTAACTGAAAAGCTTGGAAAATAAAGTGTTGAAGGAGTGACTTGACTCTTCCTGACCGTGTATAGTCAAATGTGACAGGAGAGAGGTGGAGAGGAAATTGTTAAGCAAAAAGGAACCAGGACTTGATGATTTGGAAAATTACCAGGCTATCAATTTTCCAAAAATTGAGAAAACTTATTCTGAAGGGGATACAAATGATGTGGCCATGCAGCCACTGTGGGTGTAATTCATAGACTTAATCAGCCACTTAAACAGAAACCAGGACTAGAGATAGCATTATACCAGCACAGACTTCACCAGTTGAAGTCTGTCGAGCTTCTTAGACTTTTACCAAAGAGGATCATAAGGCTATTCAGCTGTGAATGTGTCCTGCCCATCAAGAGAAGGGAAGAAGGCCCCCAGTGGCAATCTGCAGATGGGATTGCTGTTCCCACCATGGGCCGAGTAGTGTTTAAGCCTCCTAATGAATAAATCAGGTTTAGAGGAAAGAAATTGCCAATCTGCTAGATGTCTGGTATAAATTCATGCTCTCTAATGTTTAAAAAAAATTCTAGGAACAGTAGAGATTAAGAACTGAATATAAGCTTCTGTCAGAGAAGGGGTCCCAAGTGACTTGCTGAGCACCCTGTCTATTCAAGGGATTTTTTAATAGAGCAAAACTATGAGGTAGGACAAAACTGAGGACAACCAATACAATTATAAGCATAATTTCTCAGATAATATTGATTAGATGGGGATGAATGAGGCAACAAGTCATGTAGCAAGTGGGCAAGAAACCCAGCAGGGGCTTTTCCTGGAGTGGGTAGATCAGTGGCTCTTCCTGGCTTCCTTAAAGTAATGGATACTCATTTAGAGCATCAGTCACTTGTTTATCCCTAGGGGAAGTGTATGAGTACATTCCTTTGATTTTTTGTCTTGTGGTCCAGCCCCCAGTGGATGTACCTCCACCCCACTTGCAGTGTAACAAATTTTCTGTACTGGCTCCTTTGAGGGTCTAACCCTGTGTAACTGTCTATAATATTTCTACCTAACTTAGCTGTCTATAAAACTGTGTTAAGCGAGAACTTGAAAAAAAAGAAAAAAAACTGTGTTATTTTATTAAGAGCAGCCAAAGCTGACTGATATATCTGGGAATGACCTAATTTTGCTGAGTTACACACACAAAATCCTTAATTGCATTATGAAGCTTCAGTTGCTTTCTTTTCCCCAATAAATACATTCTGCTCTTAACTTACTTAGTTCCTAAAATTCATCCTTTGATCTTAGAGAACACGAAGTCATACAGGACATCTAATAGGCTGGGAATTTCTTTTCCCTCTATCAGTACTCAACAACGCTGTTAGTATACTCACTTTTCCCAGGATACAAACACATGGTACTGGCTGCTTTCATTACAGAGATGACACAGCGTGTCAGTATGGCACAAGTTGTGCTCTAGAATTTAGGCTGTGCAGTTTCTTCCTGAGTTCTTATGCTTGAACTCACTTCACCATTTTTTCCTTGTTTTCATTTATTTCTATATAAAATGAAGATAGTTCTTCCACCTGTAGTGTTGTTTCAGCGATTAAATTAGCCAGTGGAATAAATATTCATTTATTTTGTGGTACTGGGGATCAAACTCAGGACCTTGCGCTTGCCAGGCAGGCACTTATACCACTGAGTTGTCTCCCTGGTCTTAGCCAGTGGATTTAAGTAAATTAGCATTTCACTGAACACAATGCCAAACAAAAAATAGACATTTAGTAGGTGGTGAATCATCTTCATCATCACCTTTGCCAGGTAAATTTTAGATTCAAACCTGTTGAGATCATGCCCAGTAGGTGGCACCAGCCACAGTTGAATAAAATCTCCTAAATATAAGATACTTACCAAGTTTGGAGCTAGAAGACACAAAATTACAGTAGCAATAATGCAAGCAGAAAGAGAAAGACAGACAGACAGGAGAGAGACAGACAGAGACAGAGAGAGATAGAAAATATACTACTCTCAAACTAAGCATTTAATCTATTACAACTACTTAAACCATGTCTTTCAAGACAAACACTGTGTTTTGTGATTCCCAGACCCTATGAGCCATTCTGTATCCAAGTGTGGTGGGGCAAAAACTAAGATTTTCTTTTGGAGAAGGACCCTGCAGAAAGTTTTTATACAACTTCTGTTTTCACAGATCTTTCTTTCTTTCTTTCTTTCTTTCTTTCTTTCTTTCTTTCTTTCTTATTCAGTCACTTCTGTATTCAGTGCACTTGATACTGGGAAGTATAGGTAGATGAGTTATTGCCCTGGGGGTGTAGCCAGTTTTTAACAGCAGAGTTACCTGGCCTAGGACCAAAATAAGGCTGCCTTCAGTTACAAAGTCCCCAAACTTTGGCTGATCTACTTCTGTCATAATCTGGATTTCAGGCTACTTGCTCAGGTGTTATTTTTGTCAGTGTATTGACAACTCTTCTATCTATATATTATCTTAAAATTCCTGAAAAAGGTGACCCTTTTGGAGGACTGGCCACTCCTTATGGTTCCCAGTCTTCATCCTCCAGCCCCTTCTAGTGGGATGAAACTAAAATATATACCTAAATACTTAAAACAAAAATTTTGAGCAACTGTAAATGCTATGAAAGGGTTAGAGGAGACAAAGTTATAGAGAAAGCCCCAATGGCACAAGTGTGGGAGTGTTGGTTTATAAAGTGTGGTCAAAGAACACCTCTTTGTGGGGGCCAGAGAGATGGCTCAGTGGAATAAGCGCTTCCCTGGCAAGAGCCTGAGTTCAATCCCCTGTTCCACCAAAAAGAACACCTCTTTGAGGAATCCGGGTCTGATCCCCGGGCATGTCTTGCTGGCCCCACTCCTGTGGCATGCAGAGATGGCAACTGAGACTGGGCATGGTGGTGCATGCCTGTAATCCCAGCGCTTGGGAGGTTAAAACAGGACTCATAGACCACTATGAGTCTGATCTCTGTAGTGAGACCCTGTAGTCCATGTACTAAATACCAAAAAAAAAAAAAATTAGCCTTTAGTGAAACTTTAGTGAAACCTACCTGGAGATAGTGAGGGGAAGGGGTAGGAGGAAGAGTTGAGTGAAAAGCATAGAAACATTGGAAGAACTAAAAGAATACCCATTCCCACATGTGTCTAGAGCTTTGTGATTAGATGGTGGTTAGAAACAGGGAAGAGGTGAGCCTTGTTTTATA